TTGAGGCGGGCGAGCAGACGTGCGATGAACTGGTCACGTGGTTTGTTGATGGCGGAGCGGGTTTGCTCCTCTTCTTTTTGATCGCCGTCTTGCCACTCAAGCCACACGTCACGGTAGGTGGGCGGCAGAAGCTGATGCACCGACTAATGGAGATCAAAGGAGGGATAAAATGAATGAAATACATAAACTGTATGTTTAATATGTGAATGTAGTGTTTTGAAACTCGCCTGTCCTTTGACTAGGTTATAAAGAGCAAGAGTGGCTCCTAAGTGCTGGGCCTGCATGCCGTCTTCAGTCAGGATAGTGGGACAAACCTCCAAAACATCATTAGGCCTCTGAATACGAACTCTGACAGGAATGACACATAACCAGACACTCAAATCTGCATTCAATATACAATTAGAATCCAGATGCAATGTTAACGCAACATACTTGCATTTCCAGTATCTGCTGACTGCTACTTTCCCGAAGGATGGCGGAGGGCTCTTTGGGAGGTTCTTCCTGCACCAATCAATCAGAAACTGTTTTGGTGACTTGCCAGTCCAGCTCCTTGATGTGTAGTCAAAGTTACGAATGTCTTTGGGCTCTTTCTTCTTTTTCTCTGCTAAAGTATCAACAATGACAAATCAGACTGACACGGTTCAATATAACTGTCAAGACATGAAGAAAAACCATTAATATCTGGCAATGCACTACCTAGGCACAATAACAGCATATTACAGCATAAAATACAATACATTATTAAATAAAATAAATAAGATAAAATAATAAATAAAATAAACATCCAACGAATATACAATAATGTAAAATATGATATGAAATAATTATTAAATTGAATGATAAAAAAATTATAAAATATCATTAAAAAAAAACATTAAACATCATGACATAGCATAAAATAAAATAACCAAAACAAACTAAAAATAACAATGGGAAAAAAAAGTAAAATAACATTGCATAAAACAAAATCAAATTTTAAATATCACAATATAACTAAATAAACATAGTCTAACATATCACAAAATAAAACAACAACAACATAAAAAACAGAAAACAAAAAATACAATGAAATAACAACAATATAAAGTAACAAAATAAATTATAAATAAAACCCAACACATACAATAATGTAAAATAACAAAATAGAACTATAATACAAAATATAATAAAAAACGCAAAACACGTTAAAAAACTTTTACTCGTTTTATACAAATGTATAAAACATAAAACATAACAGCATAAAATGTAAATAACATAAAAATGGCAAACATTAAAATAATAACAACAAACACAATAAAATATCAAAATAAAATGAAAAATAAATAAAATAAACAAATCATGCAAATATACCACAAGCTACATAATAATACAAAAAATAAAATAGCATAACATGGCATAAAATAAAAAACACAAAATAAGCACAATACAATAACAGCATGAAATAACAACATAAACAATGCAATATAAATATCATAAAATAAAAATCAACATCATTAAAAAATAAATAAAATTAAACTAAACAAAAATAAATAAAAAAGGATACATTGTAATGACACAATGATACAAAAATAATCTTACCTTTTTCTGCTGGCGGTGTGTCTGCTTGCTCGAAGAGATTGAAGTTGAGTTCCTCCTTGCCATCAGTGAGTGCAACTGGCTTCTTTTCCTCTTTAGGAGCGTCTTTAACTTTGACAGCAGAGTTAAACATTGGATGACTCTCCAAAGACTTCATTTCTGTAATGTGAACAAACACTGTTGAGAAACAAATTCATGCAACACTTTCTCAAGTTCTACAATGAACAAATGCCCTGAAAGATAGAAAACACTGCAGAGACCTTGCTGGATGACTCTGATCCGATCTTGCGCTGTCCTCTGCCCTGCTTTGTCTTTCTTGGCTTTAGATTCTGCAGCCATCTCTTTCGCATCATACAGCTGAGCGGCCAGCAGCAGGTATCTGTCATTCTGCAGGAAGAGCATGAGAACTTACGGGAAGCTGCTGATGTAACAGTGACATAATGTGGAAACCAGACTGAGTAAAACTCACAGGATCAAACTTCTCGTCCAGCTCGGGGTTAAACACACTTGCGTCCTTGTTTTCATCTTCTTCACTGCTCTGATCTTCAGATTGTTCAGCGTAGCGCAGTATCCACTCCTTCATACTCTCACCGTTGTCTTTTACAGACGTCTGTCATTAAATAAAATGTTTTTGAGCTTTTTTTAAATCTCAAAAGATTAAATGAATAGTTCACCCTAAAATGAAAATTTGCTGAAAACTTACAGAGTTAGCAGATTTGGAGACTTGCTCAACAGTGGATCCTCTGCAGTGAATGGGTGCCGTCAGAATGAGTGTCCAAACAGCGCATAAAAACATCACAATAATCCACACCACTCCAGTCCATCAATGAATGTCTTGTGAAGTGAACAGCTGTGTTTGTAAGAAACTTCAAACCATTTCTTCCACATAAAAAATGAATTCGCTATCCATAATATTGCTTTCTCTCATCTGAATTATGAGAGAAATATGCACAGAACAAGCACCGTTTACAAGTGAAAACAGTCCAAAAGAGTTCTTAACAAATATGTTGGTGGATTTTGATGTGTGAGGACAACAGGGGATGGGCTTTTTCACTAGAGGAAGTGTTATTATGGATTATTGATGCATATTTTGGCCAGAAGTTAAAACATCTTAATGATGAATTTGTTTCTTACGAACACAGCTTTTGGCTTCACAAGACATTAATTGATGGACTGGAGTGGTGTGGATTACTTGTGGATTATTGTGATGTTTTTATCAGCTGTTTGGTCTCTCATTCTGACGGCACCCATTCACTGCAGAGGATCCACTGGTGAGCAAATGATGTAATGCTACATTTCTCCAAATCTGTTCTGATGAAGAAACAAACTCATCTACATCTTGGATGGCCTGAGGGTGAGTACATTGTCAGGAAATGTTATTTTTGGGTGAACTACTCCTTTAAGGAAAATGTGATTCTCATGGCACTTTAACACACCTTTGCCTTTGGTTTGTCCTCCTCTTTAGATGCTTCTTTCTTGGTCACCGTTTGTTTCTCGTCCTCTTTAGGAGGCTGGAACTTGGGTCGACTCTTCTGTTTCTCCTCCAGCATCTTTTGGCTGAATCCCTCCGGTAGCTCATCTTTAATTACAGAAAAGCAAAAATCAAAACCAGGGTTTATGTTTAAAGAGCAGTACATAAGTTTGTGACTACAACCTGAACCTTTTACCATCTCTGAGATTCAGACAGAGCCAGTCGAGCGCTGAGGTCAGGTCGCCTCCATACAGCATACTGCTCTTCATGGCCTCCTCGATGTGCTCGGTCTTGAACTGGAACTTCTGCAGAGCTGTATACAGATCCTGCCAAACAATATATATATATGATGGGTGTTCTTCAGATAATCTTACATAATAAATAACACAAGATATTATTTATTTTTTGCAATTCAAGATGAAACAGAAAAGAATTACCAGCAACTTTTTGGAGGTGAGTCTCCCAGATATTGGTCCTTTATCGGCATGTTCTTGTCTGTATTCATTAATTAACTTGATGACCTTCTTCTCCAGTTCTGATTGGATAACAACCTTCACACATGCAAAAAACAATTAATATTGTAAGACAAGGCACAGACGCATATTGTCAAAAAAGACGTTGATGCTCAAACAAACATTCAGAATTTGGGGTTAGTAGAATTTTTTTTTATGTTTTAAAAGTCTCAAATTGAATCAAGGAAAATCTTATATGACCTCTTTATTGTGAGACTTACCTTCAGTATTGATTTATCAGACACACTGCTAGTGTCAGTCTGTGCATTAGTGTTAAGACTATATGTTTTGGGAGCTACAAGAAAAAAAAGGATCAAATATTAAAGGCATTTGCAGACAAACTGTCAAGACGTGCAACATATTCTAAAACTAGGCAAAAATTAATGCATAATAACCTACTGATTATTACATTATACTGTACATCTAAATTCAAATAAGTAGAAATTCAATACAATTTTGAATCATATATTGTCCTGTTTAATCAATTAAATTTTTTAAATGAAGTCTGACCTCTGGGTTTGTTTTCCTTCATGGTTGATTTGTCATTATTTGGTCTCTGTTGCTGTTTTTTGCCGGCGGATTCAGTTGCCGCATTGGTTGCATTCTCAGCAGCAGCAGCAGCAGCAGCCGGCTGCACACTCGTGGGAGCTGCTGCTGACTTCTTCTTCTTCCCACCCATTGCGGAAACAAGTGTGTGTTACTGATCAATACACAAAATTACCCACATTTCTATGAACAAAAAAAATGTATAGCTGGAAAATGGTAAAGAAGACGCTGCTGTCAGCCAGCTAAGCCAACGCTGTTACAGTTTGTGTGAAGACTGAAACTATTGAAGCCTTTTTTCAAAATAAAAGTTCAGCTGAAACTTTAGAAAACCTCGGATTTTTGGAACTTTATGCATGAGCGGTGTTTCGTATAGTGTTATGTTTATGTAAATAATGTGTTAATATATAATAACTTTGTCCGTCGGTTTAAGATTTATTTTGGAAATGACATAATGTTGTTAAGGCGATTTCTTTAACCAATATGTATACAAAATATTTTTGTAATTATTAAAAATGAGTGAACCCATCCGTTCGTCTTGCATAGAAAGTAAATGTACAAACATCTAATAAATAACAATAAACAACAACAACAACAACAACAACAACAACAAAGTTTCTTTTTTTTATGCGGGTTAAACAATGCATAATAATGTATTTTTAGTAAAAAAAAGAAAGAAAGACAAAAAAAAAAAGAAACTTTGTTGTTGTTGTTTATTGTTATTTATTAGATGTTTCAAAACCTCAACCAAAGAAAATCAAAACCTGTCACTTGAGAAGTGTTTAAATAAAACTAATTCAATTTCAAAATTTAAATTACGTCAAATTCCTTAATTAATTTTTTTATTTTGATTTATTTATTTTGAAAAGTCTTTTGTTGCGTGTCTTTTACCGCGGCTCACTTCACACGTGTGACCCGTGGTATGTCATTTCCGGCACGCGGCCTGCGCGTCGCACTGTGGGAGTTGTGTCTGTTTGAAGTCATGGCGGACGCCTTTGGAGAAGATTTGTTCAGCGTGTTTGATGAAGAACAGGCCGGTTCTAGCAAAAAAGCCACTCCAAAGTCCGCAGCTCAGGCAGGGTAGGTGAACGAACGGGATGTATGGTTGTTTTGCGTAACTAATCTCTAGACAGGCCTACTGTAACGTTAGTATTTGACTGGTCGTATTGAACACGTGACGCGCACGCATAGATACATAGAATCTCAATAATCTCACAGTATCAGCCCTTTACATTTATAATCCAGTTTTCGGCATTTCGTGTTCGGACAGTCTCTTGCTGTTATTTGTAATGCAGCGGTTTTACGTAATTACGTTTGTGTGCATTTTGTAGTGAAGGAGCTTGCCTCATTAAAATCTCCTAGATTTGTATGTGACCCTGGACCACAAAACCAGTCATAAGGGTCCATTTTTTGAAATTGAGATTTATTCATGATCTGAAAGCTGAATAAATAATCTTTCCATTGATGTATGGTTTGTTAGGACAATATTTGGCCGAGATACAACTATTTTGAAAATCTGGAATCTGGGGGTGCTAAAAACAAAAAATCTAAATATTGAGAAAATCGCCTTTAAAGTTGTCCAAATGGAACATGATTTTTACTTAATATCCTAATGATTTTTGGCATAAAAGAAAAATCAATCATTTTGACCCATGCAGTGTATTGCTGGCTATTGCTACAAATGTACCTGTGCTACTTAAGACTGGTTTTGTCGTCTAGGGTCACATATGTTCAAACACAACTGCTCAACTGTCAAGAAACTCAAATGTAAACACACACGACCTTTTATCTATCTATCTATCTATCTATCTATCTATCTGTCTGTCTATCTATCTGTCTATCTGTCTGTCTATTAAATTACACTACAAAACACTTAGCAATGCCCTGGAAACCACCTAGAATGGTTGAGAAATGTTCAGATGAGCACTGTGTGGCTGTGGAGTGAATCTTTGGTGTTTTCACTTCTAATAGAAAGACTCCTGATAAAGGCGGTAAACAGCAGAGCGATTCAGCAGCTGTGCACAAAAGAGATGCTGACAATGACGGGCCAGATGAGGAGGTGCTCGGGAAGAGACAGAAGCTGGAAACAGTGTCAGCTGAGGAGATCAAGTAAGATTGGCATACTTGTGTTTATGTTCTGCTTCTGATGAATGTCTGAAATGCTGCTTAGTGTGCTTGAACAGGTGGATTTCTATAGTGGTTTTACAGATTAATCGGCACCAATAGTTGCTTTTTGGAACTGCCAGTTATTGGCGTAAGTCAAGGTTCCTCAAATCGTTTCTTAAAGTTTATCTCAAACTCTAATCATACTCACCTACCTGTGATTTTTCGAGTGATCCTGAAGAGCTTGATTAGCTTGCTCAGGGTTGGTAAATCAATTGGGATATTTTGGCATATGACGTAATACATTTGGCACTGGAGGGTTTCACAATTGAAATGAGAAAAGGCTGTTTTCAGTTTTATAGTTGTTTTGTTAACTTTTAGAAACTTGAAACAATAGGTAAAATACGTAATAAAATAAAAATAATACATATTTGTCAGTAGCCGATGAAACAGCCATTTTTATGTAGTGTGTTTTGTTAGATAAAAATTGTCATCATCATTATTGTGCATTTTTCTATATTATTAAAAAAAATTATGCGTGTATATTCACTTGGAAGGAGGGTTTTACAATCCATAAGAACAGCCTGTTTTCAGTTTTTCAGAAAAAAAAAAGTCAAAATATAATTCATTTATACTATCAGCTGATTTTTCAGTTTTCCAATCTTAATTATTGGTATTGACTAAATCCACTGTTAGTTGACCTGTAGTAATTCTTATCATTTGCATCTGTGTCATCCTTCAGTCTGTCAGAGCTCATGCCTAAAGTCAAGGCGGAGCAGGTGGAGACAGTGGAGGGCTGCACTCATGAGGTAAATACACAAACACAGTGGAGAAAAAATACATCCCTGTTGAATGTCCATGTTGTGACCCAGTCTTCCTTTCTCAGGTGGTTCTTCCTGCAGACGAGGAATACACTCCACTGAAACCACGCGTTGGAAAAGCAACTAAGGTAATCTAATAAACCTCACTGAACATCCTCGGACAACATCGATGCTTTGCCTTTGTTTAAACAAGTTTTGCTTTCCTAATGCAGGAGTACCCCTTCATACTCGACCCTTTCCAGCGTGAGGCCATCCTGTGCATCGATAACAACCAGTCTGTGCTTGTGTCGGCCCACACATCGGCAGGAAAGACCGTGTGTGCGGAGTGAGTGTCCATTAGACCAAAATATTGTCCGTGTGCAGTTTTAAAAATCAGTTCCTTAGATCTAAGTGTGTTTCCTTCTGCACACAGGTATGCCATTGCTCTGGCTCTCCGAGAAAAGCAGCGCGTGATCTTCACCAGCCCCATCAAAGCTCTGAGCAATCAGAAGTACAGAGAGATGTACGAAGAGTTCCAGGATGTGGGTCTGATGACCGGTGACGTCACCATTAACCCCACGGCTTCCTGCCTGGTTATGACCACCGAGGTGAGACAGCGGCCCGTTATCTGCTGGAACACCAACCACTGGTTCTTTAGTTATTTATTGCTTTGTTGGGGTGTTTTCTTTCAGATTTTGAGGAGCATGCTGTACAGAGGGTCAGAGGTTATGAGGGAGGTGGCGTGGGTCATCTTTGATGAGATCCATTACATGAGAGACTCGGGTGGGTTGTATTGAATGTTTCATTGGCATAAGTTTCATGAAATATTGGCGGTTTACACACTGCAGCTAAATTTGGCTGTCACTTCACCTTTTAGTGCTTAATCCTGTTTCGTACACACACTTCAGTAATTTATGGGAGTGACAACCACATCCTACAACCAAAAATCAGATAGCGATAACTGCATTTGCAGAAATTCTACACAGTGTGTACAGAACTGAATGGAACAACTCGTTGTTAATGATGTATTTAAAGGGATAGTTCACCCACAATTTCTGGGTGAATTATCCCTTTAAATACTTATCAGAGTTGTGTCTGTTTTCTGTATATGTGGTGCAAGAAATCACAGTGAATCAGTTACGATTTGACTCATTAGTGTTGCCAGATCTTGCTAAAAAAACCAACAACAAATAAGATCAAGCCCATAATAAACTTAAATCCAAACATGTTCTACTTTATTGACTCCATAAACTGGATCGCTTTATGAGCCAAAAGATGCTTAAAAAGTGTTGCTTCTGAGTGAAGATGGCAGCCCTTCCAAACAGAAACAAAATGATGACAGCTGTGTTTGTGTGCTGTAATATTACTTTGGTCAATAATGGCAGATACCAAACACTGAAGATGGAAAAACTCTGCTGTGGTTACAGTGGTGTCAGTCATCACAGACTGTTTCGAGAGTGAGTTCTGCTCTGTACACACACAAACTGCAATTCAGGAGATACACTCCCATATATAAATGTGGTTGTCACTCCTAAAACTTCACAGTGTGTGTGTATGTGGCCATTATGACATGCATATAAGTTTTTTGTATGTTAGCTGTGTCATTGAGTTCGTTTTTTCTGGGTCACATGACCTGCAGAGCGTGGAGTGGTCTGGGAGGAAACCATCATCCTTCTGCCGGACAACGTGCATCATGTCTTCCTGTCCGCCACCATTCCCAACGCTCGACAGTTTGCCGAGTGGATTTGTCACCTTCACAAACAGGTGGATCAACACTCTAGCAAACTCTCTTAGAACACTTTAGTAACCACCCAACAACAGCCTAGAATGCCTTCTCAAAAATACTAACCTCTACTTTTACCAACACACTTTAGCAGTGTTCTAACATCCAGTTTTTTAAATGGAAATAAGTACTAAAATTACTAAATCTGAAATAAAAATAAATTGCAGCAAAATAGAAATGTAAAAACAGAAACTAATGAAAATTTGTCAAATGCACATAATAAAAGTTGCTTGTGTTTACTTGCAGCCCTGTCACGTGGTGTACACAGACTACCGCCCCACTCCACTGCAGCACTACGTCTTTCCAGCAGGGGGCGATGGACTCCACCTTGTTGTGGATGAGAACGTAAGTAGCCGAATACTTTGGAAAGCTGCATTAACGCCTTTATTCCGTCATCAGAGATGAAGGTTAAACACACCCCAATGATCTCGGGTGTGTGCCGTCCTCTGTGTTACAGAATGGAATTTGTGTTCTATTATCTGTCATAGGTCTCAGATTACAGCTAGATGTAATTCAACACAGATTCTGAAAACTGGAATATCTGTGTGTGTGTGTGTGTGTGTGTGTTGCATAACTTCCAAGCCACAACCAACGCAACAAGCTGATCAAGTTTAAGAAAATATTCCTAGTATGATTGCAGTTATGTAATCATATTTTTATGGTTTTTCATGTCAGGGAGAGTTCAGAGAAGACAATTTTAACACAGCAATGCAGGTCCTGAGGGATGCAGGGGACACGGGAGGCAATGCTGGGGGCAAATGGGACCCCAAAGGCAGAAAGGGTGGAACCAAAGGTTGGTATTCAACAATCAACATGAAATCAAAATAACACAATCAGTATTTTTTCAAAAATAGTTGCTGTATTCTAGCATCTGACGCCCACTTTCAAGATCCAATCAATTTCTAATGATTAAAATTAAGTTGGAGTCATCATTTTATTATTTTAATTTGTTTTAATATCCAGATTTTGCAAGTACAATGGGTTGTGAACTGTTCCATGTAAATTTTAAGGTTAAATTGTGTAAGATTGTGCAGTGATGGGCTCTAAACCCTCAGTTCAGTCACTAGTTCAGATAAATGGTTAACCTTAGATGGACTCCCATTGGTTTGCTGTGAATTGTGCATATTGACTGATCCGAATCATCAATATGGAACTGTTTACACCAATTTTAATGTCCATTTTTGCACAAAAAGTCAGCTGTTGATTGTTTGTGCTGATATAAAGCACAAAACAGTCTGAAATGCTGGGAACATGCTTAATTCTGTATTAAAAATTGCTTCTGTTTTGTTTTGTTTGTTTTCTTGGTTTGTTTTTTCTCTTAGGTCCATCCAATGTCTTTAAGATTGTGAAGATGATCATGGAAAGGAACTTCCAGCCGGTGATTATCTTTAGCTTCAGTAAGAAAGAATGTGAGGCCTACGCACTGCAGGTGGCCAAACTGGATTTCAACACAGGTATTAATGTTATAATAATTAATAATGCTCCTTGCTAATTACTCTTGTTCTTACTTGAGTTAAGGCTTTAAATGGATATCTTTCATCTTTCAGTCACACCTGCAAGGACTGATTCTTTGGTTAAACTAATCCTTGGAAAGAGGCAGAATGTAATTTTTCTTCTTTGAAGAAATATTTGCTTGTTTTTGGTTTTAGAACTAGAAGGTTTATCTCACTCTTATTGCTCAAATATGGGAGCAATGATGATTTATCTCTCCTCTTAATTACAGAGAGATTAAATAAAATACAAATCATGGCCAGAAACGTCAGAAAAAGAAATGAGCTCAGCTTTGGGCTGTTTTTCATATTTGAGACGGTTACTGGGAGTTCTTTATCAAATATTCATCTGTTTGAAACCTAATCTGTTACAGAGCCAAATGCATGAACGTGGCCCTTCAAAATCAAAGTCTGTTGACGTGTCAAGCCTTCTGTTCCCTTTTGAGAGAAACGGACAGCATGCACAACTTTGTCTTCGTCTTCAGAAGTGTCACCACTTCCCATAGTGCTTTAATTAGCAAGACCTAATTGGACTTTGTTTTTAAAGTGACTGATGTGGTGCACACAGAAGAGTTGCATTATTGTGGATTTTTAAACATGCTTTGGTTGAGAAATAGCGTGCACTTAAGACTAGGAGTCTTTGGCCTTTGATGGTGTATGTGTGAGCACTTCGGACCGCACTAGCAGTCAAACGCACAGCTGTTACTGTTTTGCGAGTCTTGCTTGAGGTGGGGAGAGTGTTTTCCATGGCTCTATCTTAGCACATGTCATCATAAGAGCTTTCCAGCTCAAGTGTGATTTTATACAGGGTTTCCAGAACATTTTCATCGTTTCCAGCATGCAAAAGTGCAGTTGGTTTTCCAATCTTTTGAGGAGTTGCTTAAGCAGTGACCACTGCAGAGATATTGTGGTCTCAAGTAATGTTGTTGTCATACTGGGATAGTCAGATGCTTGTATTAATCTGTATCATTGGTTCTCAACTGGTTGGTCTGTTCTTTTGTTGATGGAAGAGAAAAAACAATGCTAAATGCAAACAATAAAATCACCTAACCATATGGTCATGCATAAAATAGCTAAATAAACTTGCGAGGAGGATAAAGTCCAAAATGTCAAGGTGGTACAACTGGCCTGATATCAAAAGGCCAGATTACCTTAAGTGCTTTGGTTTGTTTTCAGTAGTGTTTCTTGGAAGAAAAGACATTTATTTACCAAATCAAAGTCATGTGGTACAACCAATATACAGACCCTGCAGAGGTCATTTAGTCTCTTAAAATATCAGAGTTTGACCTTGTTACTTTATGACTTGGAAAGGTTGTCAGGTTTAAAAAAAATTAATTTTGGTACAACCTCCCAAAAATATAATATTTGTGAATGAATACATACAATTTTAATTATTCCTGAAATGTGTTAAATGCTTCTGAAAGATTATTTGTTGTGTATATATAAAACACCATAATATCTTAAGACTTTTTATTATGACTAATTTTACTGCCTAAAGAATACAAGTTAAGTTTTCTTAAACATCTGGCAGTGTATGTGAATGATTTATTAATGATCAGTTTTTAAGGAATCGCATTGAACTGAATGAAATTATTATATTGTGAAAATGAATATATCAGTGTTTGGTATCATTCAGATACTATATTCTTTTGAATAATTGTTTTTGTGTTTTTATTTTAACTTGAGTTAAAATTAACTAGTTTTTTTATACTAGTTGTGTGTTTTAGTTGTTTTTAGTAGCTATTTTTATGTGCCTAATTAAAAAAACAGTTATGTTTTATTTATTAAAACAAGTTACACTAAATTAAAATGAGTAATGTAGCAACTTGCTGAAATAAAACATTTTATTTTATTTTTTGGTTTTAGTTTAGTTTTAGCTTCAGTTTTAATTAAATTTAATAAGCCTGGAATACAGTATATGCGTTCATGTTGTTAAAAAAGTTACATTTATTTAATTGCTGTTGCTGCTGTTGTTTTAATAAGCTTCAATAATTTATTTTAAACCCTTTTATTGTTCATTGTTGACAATTTTGGCATTGTGTTGGGTCACAATCTAAAGCAAAGCCAGTTGAGAACCGCTGCTCTATATTTAGTTTGTATTTTGTTATGCTGTAAATTTGAATGCGCTAAGCCTACTGGGATCCGACTACGCCACATGCTGCAGGCAGAAATAGAGATGTTCTAATCCTTCATGACACATTGTTTCTAGACTCTGTTTGGAGCAAGAAAATGGCAGCTCTCCCTTTCCCCAGTACACTTTATGAATATTTTATTTTTCTCCATCTCAGTCTATACGCTGCCTCCACTGTGTGTATATGTCTCTGGTTTGTAGTGTGTTTCAAGCAATCATGAAAGGTCCTCTGAGCATCTGTATAAAGCACACACACACCTACCTTTGTTATGCTGGCTGTGTTTCAGAGATCGTTACGCTGACACACAAATGCACACTGAAGTATTCCAGTGTGCATCTGATGTTTGATTTCTAATTTCTCTGTCCAACTCCAGACGACGAGAAGAAACTGGTGGAAGAAGTGTTCAACAACGCCACAGACTGCCTGTCTGATGAAGACAAAAAGCTGCCACAGGTAGACTTCTGTGTTTTGTACAATGTTGTATTAAGTGGTCTATGTCGATGATAAAATAAGTTTACTAATATTTATTTAAGTTGGCATCATAAGCTGATAACTTTAATTGTTTGCCTGAATATTGTTGAATGGTGAGTACTTCATCAAAAAATTGGTAGTGGATTGCTCAAATTGACATTAATTAAGGGAATAGTTCAGTTTTTTTCTCGCTCTCAGGCCATCCAAGATGTAGATGAGTTTGTTTTATCAAGGGAACAGTTTTGGAGAAATTCAGCATTACATCACTTGTTCATCAGTGGATCCTCTGAAGTGAATGGGTGCCGTCAGAATGAGAGTCCAAACAGCTGATAAAAACATCATGATAATCCACGTGACTCCAGTCATTAGGATGTTTTTAACTTCAAACCATTGCTTCCAGCTAATATATGAGTACTCTATCCATAATAATGCTTTCTCCAGTGAAAAAGTCATCTTGTCTGAATCAGGAGAGAAATATGCCCGATCAAGCACTGTTGAGAAGTGAAAACAGTCCAAAAGTCCAGTTCTAAACAAATATGTTAATGGATTTTGTCATTGTTTAAAGTTAAAAAGCCTTGATGCAATGTTTTTATTAGCTTTTTGGACTCTGAGGGCACCCATTCACTGCAGAGGATCCATTGGTGGCCAAGTGACATAATGCTAAATTTCTCCAAGTCTGTTCAGATGCATAAACAAACTCATCTACATATTGGATGGCCTAGTGGTAAATACTTTTTCCACAAATTTGTGTTTTTTTTGGGTGAGCTACATTTCTTTAACATATGACACATACGTGACATTTATATTTAGTTATATTTACAATCATTCCATCAATGTTTTTAAAATAAGCCAACTTGAACAGCCTGTGCTTTCCTTTAAAACATTAACTATGCATTAATAACATCAAGATTTAAAAATCATTTAAAACCTTTTTTTCTTATTCTGAAAAACATGGTATAAGTTTTTTAACAGCAGCACTGGGACATTGTGAAATGCAAGTCTTTGTCCAGTGGGATGCACTCTAACCAGCCATATTAATAAGAATTGAAATGTTACCACATTTTTGGGTGACATTTTTAAATTAAATGGTACTAAATTACACCAAACTCAGAATTGCTAATAAATCTATTTTCATCTTATTGACTACCCTAAAATGTTTCCCACATGGACCACGTTAAGCTTTTAAGATGTTAAAAGTCTCCCATTATTAACATCCAGTACTTTTTTTATTTTTTAAGCAAGTTTTTCTGTTTTAGCAAAATATTCACTTAATCTTGTAAGCTGTTGGTAATTGAAGGTCTGCCACACAAACCACGACAAAAGTCGGGCAGTGCGTGTTAAACTTGTTTGAGGTGACTGGGTGTTTTAGCAAATCCCAAAATGGTTTCAAGAGGCTCGTAAAACTTTCCACTCTCTCTTCGGGTCCTCCTGTTACTCCTACACCATATTTCCTCCACTTCTACATCTCAACAATGCTGTCATCCATTTCCACATTGCAGGACAGCAGTATTTGGCTCGTACTCATGTAGTAGAGGTGCTGATCTCAGATCAGATGGTCTTCATGGATGCTGCTCTGTCAGTGTGAAGATAAACCGATCCTCCATCAGAACTCCTGCTGTTGGAGGATGAGTGATTACAGAACTAGTTCAAATATGCTGTTTGTGTAAATGTTGCCTTTATGAGGAACGGACCATCCTTCAACTTGACCCTTGTCTGATTGTTCTCAATGACATATTTCTGCAAGCTTATTCTGAGCTCCTTGTGCTGCTGACCCAGATTTGCCTTTGTGGATATTTTCACTTCCCTGACACAGAAATGATAGATTTTAATTTATTCTATGTTGTTTTGGAAAAATATTATACAATATATGAAAATTTTTTCTTAAATAACATTACTTTTTGAATGAGAGAAAAAATATAGTTCATATGTCATAATTAATAACACTTTATTATTATTAATAGTAATTATAAATGTATTATTATTATAGCAAGATATATGCAGTTAAAATAGAACCACATAATATTAACTACTATAAAACTATACATTCATTAAACTATTTATTTTTGGGATGCTTTTAGGGACCCTGTCCCTGGGGCCATCCTTGCATTTAGATCCATTACTTTTTTTAAGGCTTATTTTCTTATAAAAGTTTAAAAAAATTTTTTTTTTTTACTGTGTGATACGGTATTTTAGACTCGGTATGTAATAATGAATAAATATGCATTGTTTTGGGGATAATTCACCAAAAAAATTCAAATTGTCATTCTTGTGTAGAACAAAAAAGGAGAAATGTAGTCGAATCTCCTAGCTGCTCTTTTCCACACATTTTCCAAAACACAGCTGTGAATTACCATTCATTCTCATCATGTGGTAGCGTTTAGCTCAGACTTTTTGTATTCCATACAAGTAAGGTTGAGTAGACTGAGTCAGACTTTTCATTTTTAGGTGACCCGTTTCTTGAAAATGTTGTACTTTTTGTTCATGCCTTGAAAAGGTTCATGTCTTGGTGTTAATAGGGCTTTAAGCTGGTCTTGATTAGCTACACTATGCTAATCTGACTGAGCTGTGAACACAGTAATAATGTGACCTGGAAGAGTCCTGAAGCTGTGTGTTTAATTGGGATTGTTTCTCAACAGGTGGAGCATGTTCTGCCGTTGCTGAAGAGAGGAATTGGAATTCATCATGGCGGCCTCCTCCCGATCCTGAAAGAGACAATTGAGATCCTGTTCTCTGAGGGGCTGCTAAAGGTGAGATCCTTCAAGCAACCCTCAAATGACTGGAAGCACTTTTGTGTAATGGTGGATAAACACTTTCGCCTTGACTAAACATTGAGTCATTCATAACTGACAACCTTTTTCAAGTTTTGTTTTGTTTTGATTGATGTCAGTTTTGTTTTCTTTGATATTGTTTGGTGTTTTGTTTTTTGTTTTTTTTTAACATTAACTTTCGATTGGTTTTTATTTTATTTTTGTTTTGTTTGTTTATTTTGTTTAGTTCTTTTTATTTACTCACCCTCTTGTTTTTCCTGTGTGAAATTCTCTCATGGAACACAAATAAGAATTTTCTTTGTTCCTATGTTTTCTATGTTCCATGATCTATGTTCCAAGTCTTCTGACGTCATATGTTAGCTTTGTGTGAGGAACATAAAAATATAAAGTCATTAATTACTCTGCAGAAGCTCCAAGAAAAATGCCATTTTAATGTTATTTGATGGCAAATATCAGTAGGGTCTTGCATATTTTGTGTCCAGACATCATTGACATCAAAGTTATATAAGTTAATTCATTTGTATATTCAATACAGTGAATTGTGTGTTTTCCACACAAAATGATCGCATGACTTCAGATATCCATTGTATCAACTATTATTACTTGTGTATGCATGTGTGTGTATTTAAATACATTTTGGTTGAGTTTGCAGCAAAAATAACATTATTATATTCATTTACTGTGATAAAAGATTTAGGTCATACTGACCACCCAAGAGCAGCCAGGTTATTCTTCAAAGTTTGTTTTGTGTTTCATGGAAGAAAAAGTCATATAGGTTTGAACTTGAGCCAAAAAGTTTTGTTTTTTGGGTGAACTGCCACTTTAAGACACCTCACTAGTATCTTTGCCAAAGTTTTCATCATCTTCAACATCTTTCTCTCTGTCGTTCTTTAGGCCTTGTTTGCTACAGAAACATTTGCCATGGGAATCAACATGCCTGCAAGAACCGTGCTCTTCACCAGTGCGCGCAAATTTGACGGCAAAGACTTCCGCTGGGTAAATCGCAAACGTTATCCTCTGTCCTGCTTCTCATAGTAATCGCTAATCAAATTTCCAAATGCATTTGCTTGCCTCTTCGTCCATCGTTGCACAGAGAGGACACAGGGTCGAGCAACAGTGCCGTCCAAGCTGCCACGTATTGTTTGTGTGAGTGTGAGGCAATGACTCAAGCTGTTGTGAATAAAAGAGGCCCTTGGTTTTTATATTCCGGCAGCCAGAGAGCGCGTGAGCGATGGAAGCTGCCATCTAAAACGTTTTGTAAGGAACATCTGGTATCCATGAGTCTGCCAGAAAACGCACGCTCAAGGTTTTGGCTAACCGATCGCAGGCACTGAACCCCTCTGGGACGTTTAGCAGTTAATAGAAGATAAAACTGATCTGGGGTCAGCGGCGGGTTGCTGTAATAAAGTGGTGGAACGTTAGGAAGGGTTATCAGGCAAAAACAATATTTGCCAAACGAATGGGCTGATACGTTACATTGTTTGAGGCTGGTGCCAGATTGTGATTTATCAGAGCCGTACCAGTAAGGAACTTTCAGATGGAAACCTTATCGTTTGGGCAACTGCAGATGTTTCCCCAGAGCAAAATCTATTAACAACCACATCTTGCGGTGATTTTACCACCATTATGCACGTCAACTTCCTGATCAATGGAAAACATAAAAATCAGACAAATTTCGAAGTTGAAGTATACACTGATGTTCAAACGTTTAGGGTCAGTAAGATTTAAAAAAGAAAAAAGTTAACACTTTAGTATTGGGACCAATTCTCACTATTAACTAGTTGCTTATTAACATGCCTTTTATTAACACATTGGCTGTTTATTAATACTTATAAAGCACATTCTGCATGAGCATATTCTACATACCTAATTCTGCCCGATACCTAAACTTAACAACTAACTTACTAACTATTAATAAGCAGCAAATTAGGAGGTTGAGGCAAAAGTCGTAGTTAATGGTTTGCTAATAGCTAGAATTGGACCTTAAAATAAAGTGTGAACAGAAAGAATGAAGACTGGACAACTTGTAATTATATTTCACTATTACTCTTTTACTGTATTTTTGATCAAATAAATGCAGTCAAGAGACATCTTTCAAAAACTTTTTTAAAAATGAAAAAAAAAAGTGATTTGACATCCATTTAACATGAAATTAAAATTGACTCGGTTTACTTTCTTAAAATACCCATTCCTGGTTTTATTGTGAACAATTCATCAATTTTGGTCCCTGGTGATTTTACAGTTTCATAGCCATATTTCATTAACTACTAGATTTCTATAAACATTAACTACACATAAAACGGAACAACAAACCGATAACAAAAATAAGAAACTTTATTTAAATAATCTAATGAATGTGGTGCACCGTACTTTTGGGATTCTTCTTTTACAGTTGGTTTATTGTAAATAAAATTTTACTATAAACTGCATATATTGCCTTGTTCAGTATAATTTGATAGATTTTTGTAGTAGATTATGTAGTAATATTATGCATACTATACTGTTAAATTAAAAAAAAATCTGTATATGGTAAGTTATCTTTAACCAATAAGATGTTTTTGCTGGGGTTTTTTTCACGTTCTTTGTCTAGTAAAAGTAAATTTTTTGCAGTGCTCATTTTATTGCTTTTTTATATATTTGTTAAGTAAAATTATTTTCTTTTTTTTTTTCAACCCTCCACATTAGATCACCTCTGGAGAATATATCCAGATGTCAGGACGTGCTGGCAGAAGAGGAATGGACGAGAGGGGAATAGTCATTTTCATGGTGGATGAGAAGATGAGCCCTGCGGTGGGCAAACAGTTACTGAAGGTAACGCTCCAAATCGAACATGATGACTGATTTAGTTTTTGGGTGAACTGTTCCTTTAAGCGGTTCTCCACGTTTTGTTCACTCTGACGCAAAAACTCTCTGATCCTAAACCCCTTATCCCCACACTAAGCTTTGGCACCCTCTGTAAAGGGCCGTCCTATTCATTAATACACTCTTTAACATGAAGTCCGTAAGTTCTCTTGGTCTCACACGCCTGCCTGCCAGGATTCGTCCCTGCGGACTCCCGATCCCCCCTCTAAAGCATCCCATCTCTGCTTGGGGTCCATTAAAGTATTGCTCAATGCCTTCCTTCCTGACTGAATTTGAATTATATTTCATCATGGTTCTGCTGTAAAGTTTCCAAGAGAGTACTAGGAAAGCCATGACACGCATGTAGTGCCTTCTCAGTTTTCTCCTCTAAGTCCTGCTCTTTGTTGCAAAACCTGTTGATTAATAGACGGAGCTGTGTGGTTTTCTTACTCTTCGTGTGGTTAAGGCTTCAGTGGTTGATTGTTGTATATTTAGGGGTTCAAGCATGCAGTGCTGAAACCCTATTGTAATTGTTAGGATTTTTATTATTATTATTATTATTCCGCCGTAAAACTGATCGTGCAGACCAAACCGTAAGGCCAAACCGTAAGGCCTAGAGACTTGAAACTTGGCCAGATCGTAGAGCTCAATTTGGGGAGAAGTTGGCAAAGTCTCGTCGCTACAGAGCAAAAAAAAACCTAAAATTTCAGACATTTTTGAATTGGGCTACATTAACACTGTTGCCGCGGGTTGTTTTTCATGTCTGCAGGTTGAAGCGACCCCAATAACGTGACTTTTAGCCCCTGGAGTGCGACATTTACCAGGGGAACCCTGCCAAAAAAACATGTATTTTACCCCCCAAAACGCGATTTTTACT